TGGGGAGGGGGAGCTGTTAGGTAGGCAGGGTGAGGCCATGTTAAGGGAGGCCCGTGTGAGATAGCTTGTCTGTGTCCTGGCCTGGGGCAGACTCTAGCACTGGGGCTTAGTTAGGCACAGACTCCAGAGAGCCCTGCCCTAGACCTGCTGGGGAGCCCGGCCTTTCTAAAGGGGAGGGAGGGGTTGGAGCAGCCTGGGGGGTGTGTGTGTGTGAGTCCCTTAGGGCACAGAGAAGGTTATCAGGAGACCAAGGGCTCCCCACGAGGCCCTTTCCAGAGGTTCAACCACTTACGGACCTTAGTGATACTTGCTTTATCTCTTCTAGAGAAAGCCAAAACCTGCCAGCTTTGACCTTGGTCCCCTGGGACTCCCAAATCCTGCTGGAAGGGATTTTCCTAGGCTGCCTGTGATTGTTGGTGGCCCTTGCCTAGGAGGGAGGCAGCCAGTCCCCTCCATGTGGGCAAAAGCTGAGCCTGGAGGTTTGATCCTTTCCAGGCTCTTCCTGGGACTCTGTTTTCTCTTTCCTCCCCGCCCCATAAAACAGACCTGGCTCTTGTAGCTTCTCGTGGACATCCTGGCTTCCTATGGACTTTCGGAGGGTGCTTGCTGGCAGTGGAGGAGAGGGACAATGAAGGCAGATGCCTGAATGAAGCCCCGAGAGTGCCTCATAAGACAAAGGATTCCCCTCTCACACACATCCCTTTAAAAGCATCTCAGTGTTGACATTATTACCGTCACAGCTCAGGCTGCAGCCAGCTGGAACCCTGGCCAAACCTTCTGAGCCTGACCAGCCTGATGGCTGAGACCTGATCGGCCTGGGCTCTGCATTTCAGAGCTGAAGCTGAGTCCAGAGAAGTGCTAATCTGGGTACTTTCTGGACTGGGAATGGGTAGATCATATGGCCTGCTTTCTCATGCCGCCCCCCCCCCCCCGGGGGAAGTGACACTTGTCAGAGTCAGGTCTTTGTCCCTGTTGCTGGTGTCTCCTTCCTTACCAGTTTGCAAACTCCTTATGAACAGGACTTATGTGTCCAGTGGTTTGGAGACATGGGGCCCTTTAGCCTGGTATGAGCTCCCAGTTAAAGGGGGAGGGGGGTGCAGCATTGCAGATGACTGCACTGTGTCCAGAGGGAAGGTGTATCTAAGGCCTGGACAACTCTAGCCAGCCCAAGATGACAGTTCCAGGCCACTTGCCTAGTCTGGTTGTAGCCACAGACCCAAGAGTATCTGGGAGAGAACTTTCCAGGGTATGAGTGTAGGCTAGAGGGCCAGCTGGGCCATGCTGGGCTCCTCTAAGGAGGGCCCCTCATCACTGCCCCTGGCATCCTAGCCAAACACCGTGGTGTCTCGAGGCCCAGCCCAGCCATGTCAGGGCATGAAGTAAACAGATCCACAGGCTCATGTCCCTGGCTATGGTCTAAGCAAGGGTGGGAAGCCATGGGGGAAGAAAAATTGGACAGGGCAACAGAGGGGCTGGCACTTTTCCAGTTGGCCGGCATGTGGTGTGGGGCAGCAGGTGATAGTCAAGGGGCAAGGAGCTTGTGGGCCAGCAATTCGAAAAGGATTCACGTTCAGCTTCGTTGGAGGTGGCCTGGGGCTACTACTGATGGGATGAGGTGGGGTGGGGTTGGGAGGTGGGACCTTTTCACTTCATCTCAGGATCGTGGGGACGTCTGATGTGCATCGGGGAAAGAGACTGGGAGCCAGGGCGGGGCAGGAGCGCGCGGTGAACACGCTGGCCATGAGTGGTGTGTCTGCCCGGGCACGGCTCTGACTCACCTTGGGCGCAGTCTTGAATGAGCATCCCATGAGGCAGGTACAAGCCAAGTGCCAAGGTGCAACGGTCCGCAAACTCTGCTCCATGGAGCTTGCTGTCTGCTGAGGACAAAGAAATAGGCATCCGGAATTTCATGCGCTGAGCGTGGCGGGGGGCGGGGGATGGTGGTTGGGAGGTGTTACGGGCGCGTAGGGAAGCTCCCATCTCGGCCCTGGGGTGAGGGAGGACTTCCCAGAGGAAACAGTGTCTCAGACCTGGAGGACAGGTAGGACTTGGCCACATGAAAGGGTTGGGAAGGTGTCATAGGCAGCGGTGCCGCCTCACCAAGGACCTGGACGCAAAGCGGGAACACCGCTGAATGAGGGCTCAGGCACGGCAGGTTGAGAGAGGTGGCAGGAGTCTGCAGGACTTGTGGGCAGGACAGGGAGTTTAGACTTTGTCCTGACATAGCCTCTCTGGTGCCCAGGGAATTGGCTGGTCTAGAGATTTGTTAGATGCCATAAATAGGCGTGTTCTGTCTTGGTTGGGGATGCATGAGCTCTGACTCTCCGACTCCTAGCGCTGAGTTTGTGGGGCTGGGAGTGGCCCAGGTTGTGAGAGCAGGAGCTCTTTAGCAAGAAGGGTCTTTAGCTGAGTCCCTGAAGCTGCTAGGACCAAGTGAAGCACCTCCTTCCTGGCCTCGTAACCTTGACTCACAACGGTCTTGTCTCTCAGATGGCCGCACTCAGTGTCTTGAGCTTGTGGGTGGCCCTGGTTTCCTGGTGGTCATGGCCTGGCCCCACTACGCTGTGGTGAGGGCTCATTGGACTCTCCAGCCGGTGTTGGGCATGTGGCGGGGCTGTTGAGGGCACTTGGGGAGCTGCATGTGTTCTAGTTTGCCCTCCCTGGAAGGCATGGTGTCACCATCAGCATAGAGCGCCCAAAGACCTTTCCGGCACCTTCCCTCATGTGTCTGCAAAACACATATGCGGGTTCAGCACTGTTTTCTTTTCTTGCACGTTGCTTTCTTCTGTAGAGACAAAGTGTTTTCCACCACAGATCCTCCTGAAAGCCTCATAGGTCCCTGGTCACTGATAACAGACTTTTGCCTTGTCTTCAGCCCAGGGGCATCTCTGGGTCTGGTCAGGGATTGGTTACTGCAGTGAGGTGCCTGGAGGAAGAGAGAGTGAATAGAGCTGGGACAGACAATCAAACAGACTGATAAGTGGGTTGCACTGTCTGGGGCCCCTTGGTGACTGTGGGTTTCCTTTTGCAGTGTTCCTGCATCCGCTGTTAGAGACCCTGCAGCTGGTGCCGTGGGTGAGCTGCCTGCAGAAGTTCCTCATTACACCCTCTTCCCTGTACCCTCAGGGAGTTGGCCCACAGGTCAGTAGCCTTCGGAAAAGATGGCTTCCTTCCTCTTCCTCACTGGGAGGAAGGCCAGGCTGACTTCCACCTGAGGAACAGAGAAGTGGGGCTGGGGCACAAGAAATGAGAGGAAGTGGCTTACTCCTGCCCAGAGTTGCAGGCTGTGAGGTACAAGTAGGGTATGAGAGCTGGAAGCCCCACCAGCAGCAACTACATCTGAGGCAGGAGTGAGCTTGCAGGGGCTGGAGAGTCCAGGCCCAGAGGGCTGGGCTGAAGTGGCCCGTGCAGTCTCAGACCTCCTTGTGGGTGGCCCTTCTGTGGTGAAGCCCCATTTCTTGCCTCCCTTCCTGTAGGACTGAGGACCTCAGCTGTATGGGAGGAGAAATGGAGGTTTACCTGCCGATGGTTTGGGCAGGGGTGAGGGGCCTGTCAGTGAGGAGGGATATTTGTGTCCAGAAATCCTTGCTCTGAGATGGTGGGGACTATGTTGTAGAAGGGGGGGATGCAGAGAGGGACCTGGTGTCCTTGTGGCATGTCATAGGGACAAGGAAGAAGAGCTTGGCCTTGGAGGCAGACAGACCTAGGTTCAGGTCCTGGCCCTGCAACATAATTACTGCGTGACCATTGCCAAGTCACTTAGCCCCTCTGAGCCTCATCTAGCTCATCTGTAAAATGGAGGTTAAAATAGCAGTGCTTCATGCTTGGGCTTCATGCTGCCTTAGAATGCTGTTGTGGAAACTAAACCTATGCAAAGCACTTGGGACAGGCCTGGCGCAGGTGCCTTGTTCTGCTGCTGCGGCTGCAGCCACCCCCGCCGCTCCTTGGAGCCCTGCTGCCTTGGTGTGGCTCCTCCCCTCCTACCTTTAGGGTTCCCAGGCATCTTTCACTCTTCTCATCCCCCCAGATCGTGACCTTTCTTCTCTGAGGGTCCCAGGTCTGGGTGTCTGTGCTCCTGACACTCTTAGCCTTCCAGTGGGGGTGACAAGGAAGGCCTCTGCAGAAGCTTCTGGGGTGATTCAACCTCCCCAGAATCTGCCCCTTTGGTTTCTTATAAGCAAGTTCCCAGCCCAGCTTTGGAAACCTACTGTGGGATCCTGAGTGCTGGTCCTTCCTGACATGCAGGGCGGAGGATGGGAGGCCGACCAGCCTGACCAAACAGCTGCTGGTGAGCCAGCAGTGGGGCCCAGGGCCCCAGGGCCGCAGCAGCCCTGTCCCGGAGCTCCGTTCACAGACTCCGCCTCCATCTCACTCAACCCAACCTGCAGACCCCCCCTTCCCCCCGCCCCGAGCGGCCATCCCCCGTGCCTGTGTGCCCTCCACCAGGTGCACACTCACGTGCACACAGCCTCATCCGCCACGTGGCCCTCCCCTTCATCCAGTCCCCGAGCGAGACAGGGCTGTAACTGTGGAAGGGGGGCAGCCTGTGCCTGTCAGCGCAGGGGAGGCACAAGGGCACGTGAGCACCTGAGGGGCACCCGGGCCCCCTCGAGGCACATGCACGGGCCAGCTCCCCTCCTGGGCACCCTCCCCCTCCCCTCAGGCACATTCTTCCTTCCTCTGTCTTGCTTTTGCAGATGCACACGTCTAGTTTGCTCACGCTGATTGGAGAGGCAGAGCCTGATGCCTGCAGCGGGGACAGTTGCAGCCTGCAGCTTCACCGTGGCGCCCAGGGTTATTTTCATGGGGGGAGGGTGGCTTTGGGGTCTCTGCTCTGAAACGGGTTGCCTGTCAGGGAATGAGAGTTTAAAAGCAAGCGAAAGGGGTTTGTTCTAAAGGTGGTTTCTCTGGCCCTCTGCACTCCCTACTTGTCCAAATTGTCCCCCTGCTGCCAGGGCCAGGGTAACTTGGATGTCCACCTAGTCTCTTCCTCCCTCCCCCGATGTCCATAAGTGAAGACGAAGGGGGTGCTGCTAGTGGGAAGCACGGTCTGCTTATTGCAGGGCCCGGAGCTGAGGAAGGAAATGGAGGAGGAAGTCCCTCCCCTTCTGGGTGCTGGTGAAAGTGAAAGGCAGGTGGAGGGGGGGGCTGGAGTGAGTCACTGCAGCTCCGGGAGGGGAAGGGAGGGGAAGGGAGGGGAAGGGCTGGGAAGCTGCGGAAGCCTGTGAACGGGTGATAGGGGGCCTCAACGGGTGATAGGGGGCCTCGCAGCACTGAGAGCCGGCCCTTACCGCCCAGCCCCAGCCCCAGCCCCAGCCCACCCTGGCTGGGCTGGTTTCCCAGGAACTCCTGGGACTACTAACTAGGTCCTGGAGCTTCTAGGGTCTGAGGCCTGAGGTTGGTCTGGACCTGCAGATTTATTCCTCAGGGCTTCCTGAGCTCCCCTCCCCTCCTTCCTTCTCCCTCCTGACCTGACTGGCCCAGGACCAGAATCTTAACAGCGTTGGGAAGAGGTGGGCTGCGTAGCTCCCACAATCACAACTTCCCAGGGAGGGAGAAAAAAAACCCTCTGAAGAAAGACAAAGTCTTTGAAAATACATGTAGGTAATAAAAATACATGTAAGTTATAAAATCCTGGTCTTGATTTTCACTGTCCTGTAGCAGGATAAATAGAGCAAACTGTTTTTTTGTTTTTTTTTTAATCAAGTTAGAAAATAAACAAAGACACTGAACGCTTTAAGTCATACCATGTCACAGAAAAACATTTCAGACCTAAGTTCTAGCAATCTGCATCTCCTCAATATCGTAGTTGTGCTAGTCCTTTGCTCAGGACACCAGGAGCTCTTTGGCAGTGGAGGAGGGTAGGTGAGGATTGCTGACCAGGTACCCGGGTGGATCCTGCCTCCAGCCAGCCGGGGCTGCAAAACAGGTTCTGTGCTGGTTTGGGGAAGACTCTGGCAGCCACAGTCCCACCCAGCAGCTCCTCCCAGGGGTGGGGCTAGAACTGCACATACCCTTCTAGGGCCTCACCTACATGCCTCCGCGCAGAGGACGTGAGCCTAGCCCTGGGTCCTGGACTCTGCAAGGACCTGGTGGGCTTCCCACCCTGGAGCCCCATAGTTAGGAATGACCCCTGTTGTCTCCACTTCCTGCATCTGAGATATGCTTGGAGTGTCAGAGGAGGCACGGTCTGGATAAAACTCCTTCTGGGTCTGGTGGGGAAGCTACTTCATGGACAGACTGTGCTCAGCCCATGGGCAGCCAGACCTAGCCTAAGAGAAGGCCTTTGTTGCCCCTTGAACCATCGTGGCTGGATCTCAGCCCCACTTGTTCCCTGGCAGGTGCCTTCGTGCAGTGTACAAATTACGCACCCAAATGCTGCAGGGTGAGGTGGTGGAACAGGAGAGTCACAAAGCGCTGTCTTCTTTTTGTTCCCAGAGGCCCTGGCTCCTGCCTCACCAGGGCTGCTCTGTGAACGTGGGCCCCTCCCGCACACTTGCGCTGATGTCTGGGGCTGGGATGCTGTGGCTGACACTGTCGTTTTCTCTCTGCAGGCTCCAGGGCCCTGTGGAACATCATGAACTGGGCAGAGTAGCCGAGCCCAAGAACCTCTCCACGACAAGCAAGGAAGAGCCGACAGTTCTTTCTGCCTGTGCCTGACCTCACCTCCTTCCTGCTCTGCCCCCACTGGCTCCTGGACAAGAGCTGGGCTTCCAGCAGGACCTTCCCACAGGGGATGGGCAACTGGTGAAGTCGGGCTCACTGCCAGGGCCCAGTTGGCCACACCATGAACCTCCAGGCCCAGCCCAAGGCTCAGAACAGGCGGAAGCGTTGCCTCTTTGGGGACCAGGAACCAGCTCCCAAGGAGCAGCCCCCACCCCTGCAGGCCCCACCGCAGCCCCCAGCCCCTCCACAGTCCACCAGAGTGAAGGAGGAGCCTTACTTTGGGCACGAGGGTCCGGCAGGGGCCGCCCCGGTCTCCCAGCCTGTGGAGCTGCCCCCTCCCAACAGCCTGGCCCTGCTGAACTCCGTGGTGTACGGTTCCGAGCGGACCACGGCAGCCATGTTGTCCCAGCAGGTGGGCTCCGTCAAGTGGCCCAACTCGGCGGCGGCTCCCGGGCGGGGCCCCGAGCGCGGAGGCGGTGGGGGTGTGAGCGACAGCGGCTGGCAGCAGCAGCCGGGCCAGCCTCCACCGCACACGACGTGGAGCCGCCACAGCCTGCCCCTCTACAGTGGACCCAAGGGGAGCCCGCATCCCGGCGTGGGGGTCTCGACCTACTACAACCACCCCGAGGCGCTGAAGCGGGAGAAAGGAGGGGGGCCGCAGCTGGACCGCTACGGAACTGCGGTGCGGCCGGTGATGCCGCAGAAGGTGCCGCTGGACGTCGGGCGGCCCCAGACGCCCCTGAACTCTTTCCATGTGGCCAAGAAGCCCCCAAACCAGACACTGCCCCTGCAACCCTTCCAGCTGGCGTTTGGCCACCAGGTGAACCGGCAGGTCTTCCGGCAGGGCCCACCGCCCCCCAACCCGGTTGCGGCTTTCCCACCGCAGAAGCCGCCGCCGCCGCCGCAGCCCGCCCTCCCCCAGATGCCGCTCTTTGAGAACTTCTATCCCATGCAGCAGCCCCCCTCTCAGCAGCCCCAGGACTTCGGCCTGCAGCCGGCCGGGCCGCTGGGGCAGTCCCACCTGGCTCACCACAGCATGGCGCCATACGCCTTCCCCCCCAACCCTGACATGAACCCAGAACTGCGCAAGGCCCTCCTGCAGGAGTCGGCCCCACAGCCTGTGCTACCTCAGTCCCAGATCGCCTTCCCCCGCCGCTCCCGCCGGCTCTCCAAGGAGGGTGTCCTGCCTTCTGCCCCCCTCGATGTGGCTGGCACCCAGCCCGGACAGGAGCCCACCAGCAACCTGTTCCTGCATCACTGGCCCCCACAGCAGCCGCCGCCCGGCCCCCTGGGGCAGCCCCATCCTGAAGCTCTGGGATTCCCGCTGGAGCTGAGGGAGCCGCAGTTGCTGTCTGACGGGGAGAGGCTGGCACCCAACGGTCGGGAGCGGGAGGCTCCCACGATGGGCAGCGAGGAGAGCGCGAGGGCCGTGGGCACAGGGGACTGTGGGCAGGTGCTACGGGGTGGGGTGATCCAGAGCACTCGACGGAGGCGCCGGGTGTCCCAGGAGGCCAATTTGCTGACCCTGGCCCAGAAGGCAGTGGAGCTGGCCTCACTGCAGAACGCAAAGGTGAGAGTGGCAGGGGATGGAGGTCTGGCCTGGCAGAGGGCCGCGTGAGCCTTGCCTGGGGCCAGGGGAGAGCAAGGGATTGCAAGGCCACAGGGCAGTTTTCTCACTTCGTTGAAGGAAACAGAAAGAACCCATAGGCTTCCGGGAGTTCTGAACTCCCTGCGTGCAAAGAATCTCCGCACAGGTACATCCGTACCTGAAGGAGAGGGGAAGTTTCTGCACACAGGCTTGCAGGCGGGAAGGTGCAGCGCACCATCGTGGGTTGGCTTCTTCCATTTGGCACATGGAGGATTGGGAGTAGGGGCAGGTGAAACCATTGCCAGATCCGGGATACTAAGACAAGGTGGCAGTGGTTAGGCAGGTGCTTATACTTGTCAAAATGCTTCAAACTAATTAAAAAGAGGTGCATTTTGTTGTATGTAAATTTTGCTGCAATCAAGTTGATTTAAAAGAAATGACAATAACAGTGGGGAAGAAGAATGAACAGAATCTGAGCATCTCTCTTGTAGTTTCTTCTACTTGATCACAAATAATTTATCATCAAACCCTGTGACAGGGATGCTGCTGCCATTATCCCGTTTTATTGCTAAAGAAGCTGAGGCCCCGGGAGTATTTCCCAAAGTCACATAAAAGTCGAGTATCTGGCTCCAAAGCCAGTGTTCGCACCTTCCTTCCCTAGGGGTTTCAGCCCTCCCCCCATGCCTATGGGCCAGGCTGATATGTCAGAGGCTGTAGAATTTGACTTCCCTCCAGCCAGCTGCCAGTGGGGAAAAGGTACAAAGACCACCATTACCTGGTAACGGGTTCCTTGCTTATTTTCTTTTGCAGAGGTATGTTTTGAATTCAGATACTATTTCATGTGCCATGCCCCGTGCAGGCCAAACAAAACATATCTGTAAGCCACTTGTGGCCTGAGGTGGCCATCTGGGGACCCCTGTGCCAGGCCAGGATCGGAGGCCCTGGCAGAAGGGAGGTTATGGAGAGTATCTGGGAGTGTAGTGAGAGAAAAGGTATTCAGGGAAAGACCATTGGGAACCATCATGGGTGTCTGAGTTCCTGAATCAAATGTGACTAGGGGTCTTGGACTTAACAGGACTTACCTTCTAAACCTTACCTCTGTTCCCCCTCCCTCTCCTCCAGGATGCCAATGGCTCCGAGGAGAAGCGGAAAAGTGTGTTGGCTTCAACTACCAAGTGTGGGGTGGAGTTTTCTGAGCCTTCCTTAGCTGCCAAGCGAGCACGAGAGGACAGCGGGATGGTACCCCTCATCATCCCAGTGTCTGTGCCTGTGCGGACTGTGGACCCAACTGAGGCGGCCCAAGTTGGAGGTGTTGACGAGGACGGGAAGGGTCCTGAACAGAACCCCACTGAACACAAGCCATCTGTCATCGTCACCCGCAGGCGGTCCACACGTATCCCTGGGACTGATGCCCCAGCCCAGGTATGAGAGGCTCCCCATGCAAACACCTGTAGTACCTGTGTGCTCCTGGGGGCCTAGTACCCTATGGGAAAAGGGAGAACATGGCAATATAGGAGGGATTCAAGCAACCCATGGAGATACTATTTATATTTTCCAAACCAAACTTATGGATAAATGCACTTATGGGAGACAGTGAGACAGTTTTATACTTGAAGTTGAGACTGCCTAGGAGAATTTAGGATGTATGAATCTCTTTCATTTCAGGTCAGCAAATTTTGGCTTCTAATTTGGGTCAGGTTTTGTGCTAGGCACTGGGAGGCAGAGATGTTTACTTGTTCTGTCAGTACAGATATATATATGTTAAAATCTCTCACTAAGATTGAGGTTTTATCTATTTCATCTTTTAGTTCTGTCAGTATTCGTTTTATACATTTTGATGCTGTGTTATTAGCTGCATACTCATTTAGAAGTAGATTAGAGACTTCATCATTATGAAGTGTTTCTATTTATCTTTAGTAATCTTTTTGCCTCTTAAAGTCTATTTTGTGGGGTGGCACCTGGGTGGCTCAGTTGGTTAAGCGACTGCCTTCGGCTCAGGTCATGATCCTCGAGTCCCGGGATCGAGTCCCGCATGGGGCTCCCTGCTCGGCGGGGAGTCTGCCTCTCCCTCTGACCCTCCCCCCTCTCATGCTCTCTCTCTATCTCATTCTCTCTCAAATAAATAAATAAAATCTTTAAAAAAAAAAAAAGTCTATTTTGTGAACATCTGGCTTTCTTTTGGTTACTGTTGCCGGGTTCGGGGGTGGGGGGGAATGGATGAGATGTGTATCTTTTCCATCTTTTTACTTTTAGCCCTTCTGTATCCTTATGCTTAAGGTGTATCTTTCAAGTGGCCTATAATTGGAGTTTGTTATTATCTGTTCCGACAACCTTTGTCTTTTAGAGCATTGATATAGTTTACTTTTAACGTAATTACTGAAATAGTTGGGTTTAAATCGGCCTTCTTACCGTTTGCCTTCTATTTATCCCGTGTTGCCTTTTCTGTTCCTTTCTCCCACCCTCTCACCCCCTTTGGATTGATTGGGTTTGTTATTCCATTTTCCCTCTTTATTAATTTATTAGTTATATACTTGTTTATTATTCTTATTGATTTACTTAATTATTACTCTTTTATTTCTTTCTCTATGACTCTTTTAGTAATTATCCAGGCAGCCTTTCTTTCCTGGATTAATGTGAGAGAACTAAGCCCCACAAAAAGGAATTTGAATAACTACCTTCTCAAGGCACTGGAGGATGGTACAAAGCTAGTACCATTCTAGATGCCTAGGCGAGAAGCTAAGTCATTACATACAGTGAATGCCTTGTGACATTTGGGCTCAATTCTGTGGTTGAAAAGAGCTACTAGAGAGTAAAACACACATTCTTGGCTTATTGAAATCTAATATAAATTAGTATTTTACCTCTTCCAGAACAATGCAAAGTTCTTACAACACTTTTAACTCCATTTTTCACCAGTCTCTTAACTTGTAGAATTATTAACACGTGTTTTCATTCTCTAAACATTTTAACATCACCAAGATGTTATAACATCATTGTTTTTATTAAGCTTTTAATTTTAATTCCAATATAGTTAACATACAGTGTTATTTTAGTTTCGGCTGTACAACCTTGTGATTCAACAATTCTATACATTCCTCATTGTTTTGTTCAGTTGTTGTTCATTTTAGATTTACTGAAAGACTTAGCGTATTTGTTGCTTTTCATTTCTTCTCGTATCTCCAAGCTTCTAGCTCAGATGATTTATGTGCTGCTTGAAAAACATCCTTTAGTATTTCCTTTAGTGTGAGTCTATTAATGATGAAATTTATTAGTCTTTGATTGTCTGAAAATTTTTATTTTTTTAAGATTGATTTATTAGAGGGGCGCCTGGGTGGCTCAGTTGGTTAAGCGACTGCCTTCAGCTCAGGTCATGATCCCAGGGTCCTGGGATCGAGTCCCGCGTCGGGCTCCCTGCTCTGCGGGGAGCCTGCTTCTCCCTCTCCCACTCCCCCTGCTTGTGTTCCCTCTCTCGCTGTGTCTCTCTCTGTCAAATAAATAAATAAAATCTTTAAAGAAAAAAAAAAAAGATTGATTTATTAGAGAGAGAGCAAGAGAGGAGGAGGATAACTTTGCTGGGTGGAGAATTCTGTTTTGGTAGTTATTTTCTCTTGGCACTTAAAGAATATCACTCTGTTGGGCGCCTGGGTGGCTCAGTTGGTTAAGCGACTGCCTTCGGCTCGGGTTATGATCCTGGAGTCCCGGGATCGAATCCCATATCGGGCTCCCTGCTCAGCGGGGGGTCTGCTTCTCCCTCTGACTCTCTTCCCTCTCGTGCTCTCTGTCTCTCATTCTCTCTCTCAAATAAATAAATAAAATCTTAAAAAAAAAAAAAAAAGAATATCACTCTATTGTCTTCAGACTTCCATTGTAGTTACAGTGTTGGGAAATCATCATAAGCCATATTGTTGTTTTTTTGAATATAAGGTGTCTTTTTATCTTACTGCTTTTAAGTGCTTTTTTTTTTGTCATTGGTTTTTAGCAGTTTTGCTGTTACACCTAAATATTGGTTTGCTTTGTATTTATCCTGTTTAGAGTTTGTAGTCCTTAAATATTTCTTCTGCCCCATTTTCTCTCTTCTCTCCTTCTGGGACTCCACTTACACACCTGTTAGAGTCTTTCCCCATATCCCCTATTTTGTCTGTCATGCACTTTTCTGTATTTCCACTTTTCTCTTATTCTGGCCTTTCAGTTCACCCATTCTCTCTTTAGCTATATCTAATATGTTGTTAAGCCCACTCATCGAGTTCTTATTTTTAGTTATTTTTTTCGGTTACTGAATTTCTATTTGGTTCATTTTTAGAGTTCCTAGTTCTTCGATGAAATTTTCAACCTTTCATTTTATTGCATAATTTAGGCGTAGTATTCTTCAAGTTTATGTCTGATAACTCCATTAGTGGGATCCTCAGGGGTCTCTTTCTGTTATGTTACTTCTTGTTTCTAAGTCACATTTTGTTCTCTTGTATATCTTGTATACCCCGGTTACTTTTAATTGCGTGAAAAATTGTTGAGGTAATTAAAGACTCTGGATGATATTCTTTTTTTTTTTTTTTAAAGATTTTATTTATTATTTGACAGAGAGAATGAGAGAGAGAGAGCACATGAGAGGGGGGAGGGTCAGAGGGAGAAGCAGACTCCCCGTTGAGCAGGGAGCCCGTTTCGGGACTCGATCCCGGGACTCCGGGATCATGACCTGAGCCGAAGGCAGTCGCTCAACCAACTGAGCCACCCAGGCGCCCCTCTGGATGATATTCTTGTCTTCCAGAGAGGATTTATCTTTGCATCTGACTGGTAGCAAAGGGCATTAGCAATCCTGAATTATTTTAATTTAATCAGCCGTTGAGATGAGATGATTTTAAGTTGAGCATTATTCTATGTGAGGACTAGTCTATTTCTGATTTACCTTTATTCTGAGGATTTAGCCCTTTGGAGCCCCAGTCCAAAGCCTGGGGGTTTATCAGGCTCTCCTTCCTTGGCAAGGCCTAAAGCCCAATTTTTATTCTGCTAGCTCCTGGATTTGTTAAAAACTCTGTTTAGTTTCACAGCTTCCCAGTTACCTCTTCTAGTAATGCACCCACCTCTAGGGAAAACACAGCTCCAAATGCCGCACTCAACCTCTTTCACTTTCCTTTTTTTTCCTGTATCTTGGCTCTTCAAGTCTTTGCCAACTGATTTGCTCTCTGCTACTTTCAGAAATGTGGTTTTTATATAGAGTTTGGATTTTTTAGTTGTTCTCAGTTGGAGAGGTGGCCTGTGAGCCTGTCCTCTGTAATAGAAAGGGGAGCTTTAAGATTATCCTGAACAGCTCAGTGTCTACTCTCTGGGGTCTTATTCCCTGGTTGTGATAGAGATTGGAGCCTAGAGGCCTCAGCTTGTCCTGAGGATGGCCAGAAGGAGCCTGAGCAACTACACAGCTCTGCATGCCCATTTCATAGATGAGGAAGTAGGTCCAGAAAAGGCAAGAGACGTACCTAAGTTCGTACAGCCAAGTAATGACAGAGCTAGCCCTGGAATTCGGACCTCTTGAATCCCCACCCGTGGGTACTTTCACTTCACCAGGCTTTAGGAGGAGGTCTATTTATTTATTTTTGGTTATTTGTTTACTTATTTCTTTATCTTTCTTTGTATTATAGATATTTTCAATCTTGCACAAAAGTATAGAGAATGGTAAAATGAACCTCGATATTTAGCCATCCCCTGGCTTTAACGGTTTTCAAAATATAGACATTCTTTTGTTATTTGTATCTCCACTTCTTCCTGCCACTGGATATTTTCTTTTTTTGAAACAAATGCCAAACACCATATCATTGCATTCGTACATACTTAGGTTTGTATCTGAAGTACACAATACATAAGCTTTCTCCCTTCCTTCCTCCCTCCCTCCCTTGCTTCCTTCTTCCTCCCTTCTTCCCTCCCTTCTTTCCATATATAACCTCAGTATTATTATCATACCTACAAAATCAATACAAAAAATATTGTCAAATATTCAAAATAGTTTCATTCCATTTCCCTTATTACAAAATTACAAATCATTACAGCTAGCTGAGTTCATGTTGGATTTCTTGTCTGGCAAGTTTGGACGCCTTCGACTCCATTGTGTTTTTTTCTGTGCAATCATCTTGTTCCCCTAGGGGAGGAAGAATGAAAAATTTCATTTCTTCCTAGTCTGTAGAAAAGAAAAGAGGGCACAAATGGGTAAAGGACATGGCCAGGACCTCATGGAGAGTCAAGGCCCTCTGCTGAAAGAGGTTGTGGGAGCTGGACCCTGGGAGGGGAAGAAAGCCTGCTGTTCCCAGGCCGCCTCAGTCAGTGTGGCCAGCCTCACCTGTTAGCCCGCTCTACACCCAGGGAGATGATGTGGATGTTGCTCTTCCCCGTAGGGTTCCGTTCTCTCTTGAGAGGACAGGGATGGGGCAGAGAGAGGCCTCTATTCCCTTATAGCCCTATCTACCCTCTATCATGGGCCTGATACTATGAGGACAAGTTCTGTGAGGACAGGACCGTCCTGTTCATTCTGTGGTCCCTGCTCAGGTCGTGGCATACAGTTGGCGCATCCATCTAATACAGAGCTTGAGAGCAGCCGGTATTTATTGAGCAATTACTACATACCAGGTACTGTTCTCAGTGATTTCCATGTATTAATTCATTTCGTCCTCAGAGCTAACCCATTTGCGAGGTGCTTATTATTCCCATGTTAAAAATGATGATGCACAGAGAAGTTAAGAAATTTTAGGTGGTAAGGAAAGGAGGTAGATCCCATACCAGGCAATCCAGCTGCAGAACCTGGACCCGTAACTACTATGGTTTCCTGTCCAATAGCGTACTTCACCTCAGGGGTTGGGAACTAGGGCCTGTGGGCCAAATCCAGACCTAAGAATGGATTTTACATTTTATTTTATTTATTTATTTATTTGGATTTTACATTTAAAAGGATTATTTGAAAAGGTTGGGGAGGAGGGGAAGAAGAAGAAGAAGGGAGACGGGCGTGCAGCCCTCAAAGCCTAAATTCACTCTCTGGCCCTTTACCGAAACAGTTTGCCTACCCCCAGCCTAGAGGAGACAGTGAAAGGAATTTTGGACCTGTTCTCTGTCTCAGGTTTGCCTTGGCGGGTGTAGTGGGCAGACTAAGTTCCAAAGGGGAGACTGACAAGCAGTGGTCAAGTCTTCGGTTTTCCCAGCACATAGGAGGCTGAGCCATCTTGGTTCTATTCCTTCTCCAGGCTGAGGACATGAATGTCAAGTTGGAAGGGGAAGCTTCAGCGCGGAAACCAAAGCAGCGGCCACGGCCTGAGCCCCTGATCATCCCCACCAAGGCGGGCACTTTCATTGCCCCTCCCGTCTACTCCAACATCACCCCATATCAGAGCCACCTGCGCTCTCCTGTCCGCCTAGCCGACCACCCCTCAGAGCGGAGCTTTGAGCTGCCGCCCTACACCCCTCCCCCCATCCTTAGCCCTGTGCGGGAAGGCTCCGGCCTCTATTTCAATGCCATCATGTCAACCAGCAGCATCCCAGCACCCCCTCCCATCACGCCAAAGAGTGCCCATCGCACCCTGCTCCGGTCTAGTGAGTGACCCGCCCTCAGGGGCCACGGGGGCAGGGGATGTGGGGAGGGAGGGTGGTGGGTAGGGATGAGACTCCACTTACAGGGCTGCTGGAGATGGGGCTAAAGCACTGTGGGCAAAGGGGCTCCACTCTCTTCTCTGAGAGAGAAAAGGAGATTTTCCTGGTTCAAGAACAGGCAGGGGTGCAGGGGTGGGGGGGTATGAGCCCAACTGCTTGGGTTCAAATCCCAGTTCTACCATTTACTGTTATTTGTGCAAGTCATTTAAACCCTCTCAGCTTCAGTTTCTTCAGTATTTAATTGACGATATTAGTAGTATTGGGTTGATGATGAGATTGCCAATTTCAACTGTTTTGGGATCCACAAATAGCAGTTTCCTAGGGTTCAACCTAATGGCCACCTCACAGGGTTGTGGTGAGGTTCAGGTGCATTAACAAACAAACGTAAAGCACTTCACGTCATGCCTGGAGCGTCATGTTTGCTCTTATTCTGTGGTAGATCCTGTCTCCTGGGTCTCTTAAACAGTTGTTTTGGCCAAGAGCAGACATTTTGGCAGGCCTGGCTAGTGAAGTGTTGAAAAATGTTTCCCACTCCACAAAAGGATCCATTTCCTCTGAAAAAATGGGATAATCCTATCTCTTAGGTAGTGGAGGATTAAGTGGGAGGTAGAAGGGTGAGGCTGCGCCATCACCAGATTAACCTCTGACCCTGACTCCCTTGGCGTAGCTCTCTGGTGCCCCCTGGTGTCTGTGGGTGAGAAATGGCTCACCCTGGGCTGGCTGACCTGCCCTCCCACGTACCCTCAAAGCTTGGAGCTTCTCTCCCTGCCTGGGTTGTGCAGGAGGAAGTCACTGTAGAGACCGACTGGCAGCAAAGAGAGGCCTCCCGTCCATCTATGAGTATTTATCGAGTACTTGGGTGTAAAGCGTTGAACTGGGCTGGTGAATGCCCCAACAGTGCATGGGACAGCATGGTCTGTTCTAAAGAGAGTACAGGGTTATTAGGGAGTTGACATGGGAACCTGGGAGAAAGAAAAGCAGAGGTTATGAGCAGAGTGGGATCAGTAGCCAGCGAGTGAAGCAGACCCTAAGCTCCAAAGCCTGCAGAGGCTCCTAGCCTGGGGTGGTAAGAAAGCATTCAAGAGAGGGTGGGGCTAGAGCTGAGCTTAAACTAGGAAGGGGGTGGGGAGGGCCCACTAGGCTAAGGAAAACGAGTGGTACAAAGGCCTGGAGGTGGGATGTGCAGGAAGAGTGATGAGCCGTGAGTAAGCAGTCTGCTAGGATCTGGGGTTCAGGCAAGGGGGTAGGGGGAGGTATAGATGGAAGGGGGACTGCATGAGCCAGCTGAACTGAGGAGTTCAGGTTTTATCTCAGGCTGCAGAGGGGAGTCAGCCAAGGTTTTGGTTTTGGAGCAAGGGAGTGTCTGGATCACATGGGGCACTAAGATTAGCTCAGGAGAAACTGAGGCTGAGAATCCAGCGTGGAAGTGAGACGATAAGTGTGAAATGGGGATCCCCTTCACCACTTGCTAGCGTGCCAGAAGTTTCAGCCTCTTGACTAGAGCAGGTACAGTTTAATGTTGGTGTTAATTCTGTAGTGTGGGAGCTCCCGGGGCAGGGACCCAGCTTTGGGTAGGAGTAGTAGTAATAATAATAGCTGATATTTATTGAGGGTGAGGCTCTGTGTGTGATTTCATTCAGTCCTCCCATTAACCCTAGGAGGTGGGTAGTAATAGCCCCTTTCAGCAGGTGTGGAAACAGAAGCACCCACATGTTTGGCAGAGTCTCAGTTAGTCGTCACAGTTGCAGGCTGAGGAGCCAGGATTCAGGGGGCCTGATTTCCAAGTGTGAGTCTCTGTGAGTCACTGCTGTGGGTCTTTGCAAACAGAGCAGCCACGTAGGGTGGGGGTGGGGGAGCTTGCTGAAGGGAGGACGGTGCCGTTCACCAACGTGCCTTTTGTCCCACAGATAGTGCTGAAGTCACCCCACCTGTCCTTTCTGTGATGGGGGAGGCCACCCCAGTGAGCATCGAGCCGTAAGTGCAGCCCTTCCTCTGGCCCACGGCATGAGGGTGGCCAAGTGGGGTCCAGTGCGTGCGGGTCCCGTGAGGAAGAGGAGGATCGAGTGGGGCCCACAGAGGGCTGAGCGGGCCTCTGAGATTCTGCAGTGGGCTCTGGGCTTTACTGTCCCCACCCTGCTTCTGTGTGGAAGTCACAGGGAAAGGAAAGGACGAGCACAGTTTAAATTTGCCTCTGAGGAGAATTAGGAGGGTAGAGTCCAAGAGACTCCTTCCTTCTGTGTCTGGAAACCTGGAGCTTCTCCCCTTTCCAGCCTCTGGGCCTTGTCTTTCTGGCCGGACCAGGTGCCCTTTGCCAGGCTTCCTCATGGAAGGCAAATTCCCTTACACCCAGTTGGGGCCTTGCTGTGCTCAGCCTCTGCCAGCTACCCCTTGCATCTTCTCCCGGGGGGAAGGATTCCCTATCGCCGCGGGCTGAGGCCTCACTCCCTGCCCTTTCCACCCCTGCAGACGGATCAACGTGGGCTCCCGGTTCCAGGCGGAAATCCCCTCGATGAGGGACCGCGCTCTGGCAGCTGCGGACCCCCACAAGGCCGACTTGGTGTGGCAGCCGTGGGAGGACCTTGAGAGCAGCCGGGAGAAGCAGAGGCAAGGTGAGAGGGGACCAGGGCCAGGAGGTGAAGGCGGGCTGTCGGGCAGGTGGGTGGGCTAGGCCCGGAAAATGATTTCTTCTCCTCCCTTCCCACACGTGCTCCAGTGGAAGACCTGTTGACAGCTGCCTGCTCCAGTATCTTCCCTGGAGCTGGTACCAACCAGGAGCTGGCCCTGCACTGTCTGCATGAGTCCAGGGGAGACATCCTGGTGAGACAGCAGCCCTGGTGGAGGGAGGGACCCTCAGGGAGGCTGGCCTGGATCCGGGTCTTCTGCGCAGGAGCCAGGACTGCTGACATGCTGATCTGAGGCAGGCAGGAGGGTCTGACCAAGCTGGGGGTTGTAGGGGCTCCACCCACGGCCATCTTACTTCCAAAATCCAGACTTTGCTGCACAGGGTCCTCCCGTCTACCCCAGTCTCTGATTCTGGGTTAGCGAGTCCCCACCCTTAGAAAGGCTGTCACTGAGGGCTTTCTCTACCTGTGGCTGTCTGTCCTGGGGGCCGCATGTTCCCTCTTAAGAGGCCCACGGCCTGGTTCCAGAGCAGCCCCACCCCCCATGACCTCATCATCCTGCCAGACCTCTTGTCCCTCAGCAGTTAAGCGGGGGCAAAAATAAAGGCCCACCCTACTACTCAGAGGGCTGAAGAAGCCTTCTGGGAGTTTTGCCTGGCACCTAGGATGCTCAGCCTACCACTGAGACCCCTGCAGAGCCCTGACCCTTTTCCTCACTTCCCCTTCAGGAAACGCTGAATAAGCTGCTACTGAAGAAGCCCCTGCGGCCCCATAACCACCCACTGGCAACGTATCACTACACAGGTGGGCCTGAGACCTGGAGCCTCAAGGGGCCTCCAGCATCAGTGGGGCCCAGCTTCGTGCTGAGTCACAGCCCTGGGTGCGGGGGAGGAGGTGGGAGGTGGACAAGCCAAGAGCCAGAGTGAAGGAACTGACACCAAAGCTGGGGTAGTTCTCAAGGGGCCTCCTGTGCCCTGGAGGGGAAGGGAGAGAGGTGTGGGCAGGTGGGAGGCCATGCAGGCAGAAAAGTCCATGGCTGGGTGCAAGGGACAGGAATCTAGGGAGTGCCATCCAAACTAGCATCAGGTGCCTGGAACTTAAGACAGCCCCTGGAGTGCCCTGTCCCCTGCTGGGCGCTGTGCTCTAGAAGGGACACTGACCGAACGGCCTAGTCACAGCAGCCACTGTCCTCGATCCCTGTTGAGCGGTGCGTCTTGTGTGTGCCCGGCAGAGCATCGAGGGTTCCCCAGGATTACCTCATTTAGTCTGCACCACAGCGGGCGCGGTGGCTTCTTGGACGAGCTCCCAGGTGGAGAGCGAGGGGAGTGAGGCTCAGAGGCAGATTAAGTGGCACAAGCAGGATGTGGATCCAGCTCAGGGTGCCTGCAGAGACCACCCATGGATGCCCTCACACTTCTGTGCCAGCCAGGATCGCCCCCGCAGGGTGCCCAGCTCCACCTCACGACCTTGGCTCCTCTCTGCCCCACAGGCTCTGACCAGTGGAGGATGGCGGAGAGGAAGCTCTTCAACAAGGGCATTGCCATCTACAAGAAGGATTTCTTCCTGGTGCAGAAGCTGGTGAGCTGGGGCAAGTGAAGGCCAGGAACTGGCTCCATGATTTGGGGCCTCCTCTGCCGCTGGTGGGCCTGCAGTCCCTTACCAGGCCCTCTGAGAAAGCGGTTAGGTTAAGGCCACTCGGTATCCTCAGAGACAAACAAAACAAGGGGGAAAGATTGGGCCTTTCCTCCCCTTGGTTCCGAGCCTTCTTCCCTCAGGTTAGGGTAGTGTGCCCATATTCTGGGATCTCAGAGGGAGGCCCGAGTGGGCAGACCCAGCGAGGTCAGACTTCAGAGAGTGACCTGCCTCGGGGTGGCGGGGGGGGGCGGTGCAGGAAGAGAAGGAGGGCTGCAGACAGATGTGAGCCATTCCCCAAGGGGCTGGAGTACTTCAAAAGCCACAATCAGCATGTGGAGGAGAGATCACCCTAAGAATGAGGGGAACTGAGAGCCAGCAAGGAAGAGACTGTGTAACTGACCTGGGGGGCCGCTGCCCTCTTCCTGCCAGACCCAGAGCTTCCTTCCAGTAACTCAGCTGACCAAGTAGAGGAGGCCAAGCCTAGTTTTCCTAGATTGGATTTATCTCGTCCTCTCCCTGTGTTCTTCTGGGAGAAGAAGAGTGCTTTGCTAATCCAAGGACTTGCATCTTTCCAGCAGCCCTGCCTCACAAAATCTGAGCCTTGTGGACCACTGAGGAAAGAGGGTTTCCAAGAATGTGTTCTCTCCTCCTGGAACTGTAGATTGTGCCAGGACAGCTCTGGGGACTGGGCAAAGTGCTGATGAACTCTCCTACAAGGGCCCTGTTGTGAGGACAGTCATTTGCTGGGGTTTAGCAACATTGCATTCCCAGATTGGGCAACATTTCTGCGAAGTACATGCCCGTGAAATGCACTGCGGGGCGACTAACGCCTTAATGAAAAGAGCAGACCATTAGTCATACAGATGATCAAAGAGAATTGATAGCAAAAGCGTAAACAGGATCTAATTAATACATTTGTGACTTGGCCATTCCTGTGAGATTGGAGCACATCTGTTTCCTCCTCGGGCACTGAAGACTGTCACTGACCCCTTGGGCTCTGTGGATAGGACTTCCCAGCTCCCTCTGCAGCCCCACAGTTGGCTGAGCTGCCTGGGAGCCTGGGGCAGAAAGGGCAGAGTCGGAGCAAACAGCCTCTGTGTGTGGGAAAAGCTCCAGAAACTAAACCCAGGAGCCAGATGCATTTGTGACCTGGGAGTGCTAGGATTTCAGAGGCCAGGAGGCCCCTTGGAGGCTCATCTACACGTGAAGAGACTCGCCTAAAGTCACACAGCCATTTAGTGGCAGAGTTAGGAGTAAGACTTGGGCCTTCTGCTTCCTTTTCAGGTTTTCCAGAACTTTCTTGTTAGTGTCCCTTCAGTCCCTCTCTGACCCATAGGACGGTTTAACATTTCTCTAAGCCTCACTTGCCAGTTGCAGCACCCTGGGGAGGAATGACACTGTTGCCCGGCTTCATGAAGGCAGTTTGTGTTGCCAGGTCTGCGCTGGCTCTGAACATGGATGGTGTCCACACTTTTTCACCCTGAACTTTTTATTTTGGAAAAATTTCAGACTTACAGCAAAATTGAAAAAATAGTGCAATGAACACCCATGTACCCCTCATATACATTTACCAATTGTTACCGTTTGCCATACTTGCTTTCCCTCTCTCTCTTTCTCCTGTTTATATATAAATTTATACACACCCTACTTCCTCTCCCTCTGTTTTAACTAATCATTAGAAGTTAGTTACAGACATCATGACACTTGACCCAAATATCACTTAAAAACAAGGATATTCTCTTGCAAAACCACAATACCGTCATCATACCCAAGAAATTTAAACTGATACACTAATATTCTCTAATATGCAGTCCCTATTCAGATCTCCCCCAATGGCCTCTTGTTGCTTTTAGCTTTTTAGCTTTTTTAGTTTTTTTTTTCTTTTCTTTTTTAATAGTGCTGAAGCATTGGTCAGTGGTTTGTTCAGAGTAGGCACTGGAGAAATGGTTATATTTCCTGGGTTTCTCGGGTTCAGCATTTGTTGCGGTTGGGGGCGGGGGGAACATATGCGTGGACAGGAAAGGCTGGAGTATCCCCAGGCAGGTGAGCTAAACCAGGAACTCTGACCTCAGTTTTGGCTTCAAACCAGATCCAGACCAAGACCGTGGCCCAGTGCGTGGAGTTCTACTACACCTACAAGAAGCAGGTGAAAATTGGCCGCAATGGGACGCTAACCTTCGGGGATGTGGATACAAGCGACGAGAAGTCGGCCCAGGAAGAGGTTGAAGTGGATATTAAGGTGACTCCCTTCCCAGCTTTGGCTGCTTAGAGCCTTGGCTGTGTCTGGGGCCAGGGGCTGAGTTGGGAGCCTGAGGCCAAGCTCTCTGGAAGTCCCTGGAGGGTAGAGAGAGGAAGGCAGTGTCCCTGACAGCCTCAAGGAGCTGATGTCCTGGGCACTGGACCTGGACCTTTTAGGTTCCCCTCTCTATCTGCCAGTGTCATGATAATAACAGGTTGTGTTGATGCAGAACCCCGCATCATTTTTTGCACCAGTGCTGACTTACTGTCCCCTCGCAGCAGATCTCTAACACTGTTGCCCAAACTGGAGTCATTCTTATACAGCCATGAATATGTTCTCTCTGCATCCCGACCACACGTCACTGTTAACCGATTTTGTCATGTTCACATACCACCTGTGCTCCTACTTCATATTTTTCTTTAAATCAACTCATTTGTTACTCAGTAGAGAAACATTGTATCACAATCATAAATAGATAACTAGTATTGTTTGCCATAGAAGGTACTAGTGAAAATAAGTAGATAATGAAAACCAAACAATGTTATTAAATTCTAGGTAGATACTCTTACCTGCCAAGGCTCTGAGTCTTGGCCCTGATCTCTGTTTAATTAAATCTGGAGAAGTATAGAAGACACATTAAGATCCAACTCGAAACTTTGTCCTTGACACAATCAGGATTGAAAGAAAATTGAAAAGTGAATATTACTTAATTCTCTGTCCATGTATCCACCTAACATCATCTTGGTGATGTGCTAAGCAGGGAGTGGTTTGGTCCCCAGTGTGCAGATGGGAAGTGGGTGCAGGTCCCGAAAGCATGAGGAAGATGGTTTAGAATTGCAGCTAAGGCTGCTGCCTGGCCCCACCAGACAGCCTTGCTGAAGGCTGTGTTTCTTGGACTGGCATGCTCCCTCCCTGCCCCTAACTCAGTCTCAAGTGCTCCGTCTCTTCCTGAGGGCTTCCAGGGCTTCCAGGGCTCCAGACTCCGTCGTCTTTCCCAGGCAGACTAGCGGGGGGAGGATACAGAGCCGCAGCACGGGAGGCCACGCTGGGCCGGGCCAGGCCAGGCAAGCAGGGTGAGCAGGGGCTAGTGGCCCCGGGCTGGGTCACAAGCAGGGCAGTGCGGCTGTGTAACTGAGCTCCAGGCTCACTGCCCTCGTTCTTGTCCCCTGTAGACTTCCCAGAAGTTCCCTAGGGTGCCTCCTCCCAGAAGAGAGTCTCCAAGTGAAGAGAGACGGGAGCCCAAGAGGGAAGTAAAGGAGACCAGGAAGGAGGGGGAGGAGGAGGTGCCAGAGATCCAGGAGAAGGGAGAGCAGGAGGAGGGGAGAGAGCGAAGCCGGAGGGCGGCGGCTGTCAAGGCCACACAGACACTACAGGCCAATGAGTCGGTAAGTGTGACCTCCGCTGGGGGAGCCCAGGGCCAGGAGGGGGGCTGGAGCTGGGCCTGGGGGGTGGGAGGGAGGGCAGAACAGGAACATGGAACCCTGGGTGGTAGGCACTGTCATTATGCCCGTTTTACAGATGAGGAAATTGAGGCCCCTAGGTAAGACAGCTAGTAGGCAGCCTGACTCCAAAGTCTGCTATTAATTTTTATACTATATTGCTTCTGGATCTGAGACTCAAGAAGAAGGCTTTGTGAAGACCTAAAAGGCATGTGGGACGTTGGGGAAGCATTTATGAGTTGTAGGTCAGGCAGGCTCCCCCTAAGAGAGCTGTGTCCCCACCAAGAACGCCTGGCAAGAACGAGCTGAGACCATGAGAACAGCAATGGCCCCTCACACATGTTCTCCGCACAGTGCCTTCTTGCCCATTATCTCTCGTTGATTCCTCACGGTAACCGCATAAAGTATGAACACCTACCTGGAAGATAGAGGACACTGGGTTCAGAGATGCTGAGTGACTTGCCTGAGGTCCCGCCCGCGGTCCTTGTAGTGAGGTCCTCTGTCCACCATATCGCAGACCAAGAAGCCAGACATACCGGCCAGAGGTGTTCCTTGTCAGGGAGAGGTCCCCCAAAAGAGAGTAGGGATGGGAAGGGCCTATTAGGGAACTACCATGAGAGCCTTTAAAAAAATTTTTGTGTTGTACACTTACGCTTGCAGGAAGACACCCCCCAACCCCGCCCCAGACTGTAGACAACAGCTGTTTCCTCTCTTCTGAGACTTGGCGGTGCTCCTCCAGGAGCTGTGCTCTGTGTACAAGCTCCAAGTTCTGCTGACTTCTGTGAATACTTCCCTATGAGGGTCAACCATGCACATACTTCCGACTTCTGATGGCCATCTGAGGCTCCCCTAACCCGAGGCCCATGATTCCTATATCCTGAGCAGCACCCCTCCAGTTCTGTGCCAGGGTCCTCTACTCTCGGTCGTTTGCTGGTCTACTTGGCATTTCCGCTGGTGGCTCATGTTGTCTGTCCCGTTCACTAGATTTCGAGCTCTCTGAGAGCAGGGGTCCCTGTCTGTCACCTCTGTATCCCCAGCATCTGGCACAGTCACATGGACTTGAATCTCATTTATGGAATTAAGGCATGAATGAATGGGCTAAATGACTGAAAACATGCAAACATCATTAATTGAGACACCAAGGCCCCCCCGTCAGATAGATGCATGGAGAAGTCCTAGCTGCCATAGGCTGTCCCACAGAATGACTGTACCAACAGCTTGGCAAAGATAGAGTTGGCCAAAGACCGGAATGAGCTGCCAGAAAGCAGTGAGTCCCTTGTCACTGAAAGGATTCCAGTGGATTCTAGGGGACCATTTGGCAGGAGTGATTCAGGAACCTCTCTTTCCCAGATCTCTCACCTCTCCTTGTCTGATCCTCTCCAGGCCAATGACATCCTCATCCTCCGAAGCCATGAATCAAATGCCCCTGGGCCTGCTGGTGGCCATGCCTCAGAGAAGCCAAGGGAGGGGGCAGGGAAGTCACGGAGGGCACTACCTTTTTCGGAGAAGAAGAAAAAACCAGAGACATTTAACAAGACCCAAAATCAGGAGAACACTTTCCCTTGTAAAAAATGTGGCAGGTAAGATGGTGGCCCTTCCTCCACTGGGACCTAGCAGGGTGGCCACGGCTGGGGGGCAGGGGAGAGGGAAGAGGCAGTGGGAACTTTGCCCTTGTCTTCTGATTGGCAATGAGGGTTTCTAGGGCAGTGATGTCACCTGGCTCCGAGAAGACGGATGATGGCGCTGAATCAGGAACCCCTCCGTTTGTTCCCTAGGAGGAGGGTGGGGGTGGGCCGAGTGGCCGGAGCCGGCAGGCGGGCTCAGTACGGACCCAGGCGGGGCGCACACTGCACACACGCACGCACGCCCTAGCCTGGTGGTCCCAGGGGCGTGGGGACGGCCCTCTGACTTGAGCCCCTCCTGCCCCGGCTACAGGGTGTTTTACAAGGTGAAGAGCCGCAGCGCCCACATGAAGAGCCACGCGGAGCAGGAGAAGAAGGCAGCCGCTCTGAGGCAGAAGGAGAAGGAGGCGGCGGCCGCCGCGGCCACCGCAGCCGCCGCCTCTCCGCACCAGCCGGCCCTGCGCGAGGAGAGCGGCGCGGGGGAGAGGGGCTGACGGCCCGGGGTGGGGGGAGCTCGGCCGCGGGGCCCCGGGGCCGCCCCTCTCCCCGGACCCCCGGCCCTCCCCGCACCAGCCTGCCCGAGCTCCGGCAAGCACCCCGGGACCTCCGGAGGGAGAGAGGAGAGATCACGTGGACTTTTCTCTGCAAAACGAGACAATAAAATAAACGGCTCTTTTATTCATCAAAGGCCCGGCAGCAGCCTTCAGGGCTGCAGGATCCAGTTCTCTTGCATTCGGTGTCGGAAGTCGCCCTTACGCTTTCCTGGAACCGCCGAGGTCCCTGCCGGCTAGGGCTGCCCCCTCGGGAGGGCCTCCAGCGCCACCGCCGCCGCCCACGCCGGGACCTCGGCCGCCGCGCAGCTTCTTCCGTCCGTGACCCCCGCTCCGCCCCCCCCCCCGGACCCACGGAGAGCCAAGCACTAGCTCACCCTCCTGGCAACATTATTTCCCCTCCCCAGAGGACCTCAGAGGCTGCACAGGCCCTGCCCCAAGCCCCGGGCAAAAGGGACTCCCTGGGAGGGAGTGTGGTGGTCTCTCTGAGAGGGAGCTCAGCCTGGTACCTGTGCTGTCCCCTACACGACAATGCCCAGGCCTGCGCCGCTCCCCTGACCCTGTCCCAGGCCACCTCCTCTGGGAGGAAGGCTCCCGGAATGCCCGTACGTCAGAGGACAGGTACCTGTCCCTTTGCTGCTGGTGAGCAGCCTGCTGGGGCTGAAGTGTTCTCAAATGTGTGGCCAAGGGACCGGCGTGCCTCCCGAGCTCTCAGCCTACGGGAGGGAAGGCCGCAGACGGTGGAAGCTGCCGGGTGGGGCTGGAGGGAACTTTGTGAGAAACCTTGGCTCTTCCTGCTTCCCACCTTTTTGCCAAACGCCTTTGGGCCCTGGAGGCCGCTAAGGGAGCTTATCTGGGGTCCAGCCTGCTCCTCCTCGGTGCAAGTTCCTCCCTGCCTCTGTCCTGCCCTTGGCAGCTGCCCTCTAACCCCATCCCACCTGGTCTAGTGCTGGTACCCACAGCCCAGCCCCCAGTCCTGCTTGCTGGAGATTTCTGGATCCTTCCCTGGGAGGGGGAGGTTTCCTAACCAGATTGGACAGGAGCCTTCATTCCTTGACTTGTGTCATTTGAGAGCTATTTATTTATTCTTAATATTTAATTTTTAACATCCTCTCAGGGACCAGGGGCCTCCTGCTTTCCAGAGGCCCAAGTGCATTTATCCCAAAACAAGGCACCTTCTTGGCATCCACCCCACCCCCATTCCTAAGACCCTAAGGTCCCTCACCTCATTACTCTGGAAGCTTTTGCCAATAGGAGTGATAGTAGCCCTGGAAGAGGGTACAAAGGTGTGAGGTGTCACCAAAGCCGCAGGAAGACTAGCAGAAGCAAGGGAGATCAAAGGCAGTTCTTATTGCTACCTCTTCTCTGGCTGTATTTTCAACTTGCCTGAGGGGATTGGCTGGAAGCCAGAATTCTAGTCTTGTTTCTGGCTGGACGAAGCCATATTTGGCATGGAGTCACTGAAGTGAAGGGCTGGAAGGTTCTAGAGGCCCCATCACTTGCCAATCCTATAGGAGTGCTGAGTTACTTTTCTGATCTTGTTATTCAACTTCAGTTGTGTTAAAAGTTCCAAGTGAATGCAAGTATATGACAGGTCAGCAGGTTAGGAAGGAGCTGAAAATTCTGCCACTCTCCTTACGAGATAGCCTAAAGGCGCCATATTTGGTAGCTGGGAGTGAGGAGGGAGTTTTGTTTCTAAACTATGCACTAGCAGGTGTTCTTCAGCATTCATTTATGCATTAATATGGTTCTTCAGGACCCCAGCGATGGGAGTAACAAAATTCTTCTCCCCACCAGACTCCAGGAAGCTACCTAGATCTTCAACTTCCCAGTTTCCTCCAAAGGCTTCTTCAAGGTCCCAAGACTGCAAAAATCTGATATACCCTCCAGAAACAGGAGGGTGGCAAATTTAGGCTGTCTTCTAAATCACTTGTGTAGTAAGAGTGCCTTCGCAGCTTCGCCCCAAAGTGCTACTTATGTTTCCCGAGGTTTTTTCTATTTAAATAGTATTTAGTTTCAGGCCCCTCTGTGGACGTGTGGTAAAAGGAACCCCCTTCATTTAGAGTGATTCTCCTCTTCTAAGCTCATAGAAATCAGACTAGGTGAATGTTGGGGGAGAAAATCAAGCTGGTACCTCTGTATTAATTCCACCAGACACTGTATTTTCGAAGGGCTCATGCTCCATGATGGATTCATATCTAGAATATAAGGTGAAAGTTAAAATGTGTAGAGAGCAGTTGCCATTTTTCTGAGTGACCTGCCAATAAAGTAGGTGCAGCCATAAGAGCTGGGATAGGTGTGTCCTTTATGGTGCTTTCTCCCTGTGAACACAATAGGCTCGTCTTCTGTTTTTTCTTTCTCTTTTCTATTCAGAGCTGTTTAAGAAGTTAAATGACAAACACCTCCAGCTTTATAATGCCTTCCCCACACCATCTCCCATATCCATCTTCCAGTCTCCATCTACACTTAGCTAAGGGCATGAAACTAACCAGTGCCTGTGTTCCAGACCATTTCTGAGGTCTCTTACCCACCCAAGGAGACTGTGCTTCAGCGCACTGTTCTCCATGCCTTCAGCAGCCCCCCCTCACAGCTAAGGTACACCCTCATCCCTTCTGCCACCCCCCCACCCCGGCACAGAGGTCGTGTGCTGCTTATGTCTAAAGAGATCCCCTATATTTAACTGCCTCAGTGACCTAACCTCTTTCTTCTCATGTGCCAGATGTTAAGATGAAGGAGGAATACGACACATACCCAAGCCTCAGCTGTTTAAATATATTTTCACTGGGGCTCTCTTTTTTCGAACGGTATTTATTACCAGACTGGCAAGCCTAACTCCTTAGGTTTACGGGAAGTATGCGTATTTTTATATAACAATTGTATGTCCTCCCCATATTTTGCTGTGTTAATATTTGCCTCTAACAATTTGCAGCTGTTTCACCTTTCCCTCATTTGTCTCTAAGTTGAAGGCCTTGTTTGGAGGGGACAGCACAGGAACAGCCTTGACAGTCTGTAATTATTGTACAAATATTTTAATAGCATATAAATAAGTATATTCCTTTTATTTTGGAAAAAAACATGATCAGACACTGCCTTTTGTGTGTTTGCTGCCTGTGGCACCCTTTTTAAAAAAGACTGTTACATATTAAAATAGTGTATATATATATAAATATTACCTCTTTTGCTGTACAGTTGTGATAGACAAGACTGAAGATTTTATTTTTTGTGTGCTTTTTATAAAAAAGAAAAAATAACACACTAAAGTAAATCTTGCGGATGTGATTGTAATGTACCTATGTAACTTATTTACTTTTGAATGTTCTTCTGTATCTTTAAACCTTTTATTAAATAAGGTTTTAAAAATTCAGAGTTGAATGCTGTGTTCTTTTGGGGAGATTTTCACCACCTGGGATTGACCCCGTTTTGCCTGCAGGGGATTACGTGACATTTTTGAACTACAAGGATTCTATCACCTCTTTGTCAGTGATGGCCAGGGCAGGAAAAATAACACGCTAACGTTTGCCTGGCTACAAAGATTACTGAAAAGATAGAGATATTTTTACAAAATTTTAGACAAGAAAAAGCCTCAACTCAGTGTCTCACACAAAAACACGGACACGGCACACTTCCCACGTGTTAGTTTCGTTGAGATGAAGTATGGAGGGTGCAGAATGCAATCAGGTGCCACAGAGGAAGCCGCAGTGCTCACGACGGTATTTTCCTACGCAGCGGTAGACCAGTCTGCCTGATGGACGCATTTCAACAACATCACCTTAACTCCACTCCAGAATTACATTATCTTTTAAACACGGTCCTTTGTTTAAAAAAAAAAAAAAAATCTGGAAAATGTGAAAAAGGAAATGCGCCATCAGAGTAAGCAGTGCCCGGAGCGCCTCGCTAGCACCATGGCAACCGCTCGACCCCGCGAACCACGGGAGCGCGCGGAACTTGCGTCGTCAAGGCCACCGTTGCCATGGCTACGCTCAGCCGCGGGGGCGGGCCGCGGTGGACGCCGCTCCCGGAGCCGGCCCCGCCCCTCACTGCGGCAGGAACGCCTCCGCTGGCTGCGGGTCGGACGACCTGGCAACTGAGCTAGCTGCGCCACACCGCCGCAGCCCGCTGCAGCCGGCGCACGGCCGCCCCTGCCCGCCGCTGCCTCCGCCGCCTGTAGCCTCGCTTCCCCGTCCTTCTGGCGCCTCCGCTGCCCGGCCTGTGTCCGCGGTCCTCAGCCGCCCTCGCCGCCTGGAGCCATCACTGCGTCTGCAAAGAAACCGCTTGCGGGCTGGCCTCGCCACCGCCGCTGAGACCTCAGAACTGTCTCTTCCCTCGGGGACGACACAGCCCTCGTCTGCAAAGCAGCCGCTCCTCGCCCGACTGAAGGCCGGGCTCCGACCGCGAACGCCGAACGTCTCCGGGAGGAGCCCCGAGTTCCCCGCGCCCCGGCTGCAGGGAGAAGGCGGCCACGCCCCACGATCACACCCCGGCGCCTCTCCAGCCCCGCGCTCCAGCCTTCGCCACCCGCCCTCGCTCCTCGCCTTCTGCGCTGCGACGCGACACCCTGCCTGCAGGTGGGGGACCCGACCGGAGACGCAGGGTGGCGGCGGACGCGTGACTGACTGCTTGAGCCTCCCAGAGGCTTCGCTGCGAGAACGAGCCGACGGACTGACTGATTTTGGGCGGGGGGCAGCGAAAAAACAAGAGCAGGACTCTGGTGTCATTTGTTAATTGTGATTGCGTGAAGCTTACCTCCCTCGGGCATATTGGGGGGAGTGTCTGCTGCTGTCCCTAAGTCCTAGAGCACAGGGAGCCACAGTCTAATCTGTATTTGTAGAATTGGGATCCTTGGTAGTTGGAAAAATGGCGATGACACTGTTGGAAGACTGGTGCAGGGGGATGGATGTGAACTCCCAGCGAGCCCTGCTGGTGTGGGGGATCCCAGTGAACTGTGATGAGGCTGAAATCGAAGAGACCCTCCAGGCTGCGATGCCCCAGGTGCCCTATCGAGTGCTTGGGAGAATGTTTTGGAGGGAAGAGAATGCGAAAGCAGCCTTGTTAGAGCTCACTGGCGCTGTCGATTACGCCGCGATCCCCAGGGAGATGCCCGGTAAAGGAGGGGTCTGGAAAGTGGTCTTTAAACCCCCGACTTCCGATGCTGAATTTTTAGAAAGGTTGCACCTCTTCCTAGCGAGAGAGGGGTGGACCGTGCAAGATGTTGCCCGCGTCCTTGGGTTTCAGAACCCCGCTCCGGCCCCAGGCCCAGATATGCCAGCAGAGATGCTAAACTATATTTTGGATAACGTTATTCAGCCTCTTGT